GCTAGGTCCTGCCTTTCCTGTAACTTCTCTGGCCCTCCTCTCCTAAGCTTTGTTTCCTGGCAGTAATTAAAATCTTCTGCCACTGCTTTAGCTACTACTGCTGCTGGAACCACGTCAGCCACCTTGGTTCCATAGTTTAGCAAAGTTTGGCCTCCACAACCACAGGGGCCAGAGCTTCTGCCTCCAAAATTTCCTCCTTTCATGGATCGAAAATTTGAAGATTGATTGTTATAATTGCCAAAATCATTGTAGTTTCCACCATGTCCTAAGTTGCTTCCATCATTACCAAATCCATTATAGCCATCTCCACTGCCACCACAGCTTCTACCAAAGCCACCTGGATCATGAAAGTTTCCTCCACCAGCAAAGTTGCCATTCCCATGACCACCTCTGAAGTTTCCAGAACCACTTCGACCTCTTTGGCTGGATGAAGCACTAGCCATCTCTTGCTTAGATAGGGCTTTCCTTACTTCACAGCTGTGGCCATTCACAGTACAGTATTTCTGAGTGATAATCCTGTCTACAGAGTCATGGTCGTCGAAGGTCACCAAAGCAAAGCCTTTCTTCTTGCCACTGCCTCAGTCAGTCACGATTTCAGTCACTTCAGTTTTCCCATACTGTTTAAAATAATCTCTTAGGTGATGTTCTTCCATGCCTTTGAAACCACCAACAAAAATCTTTTTCACAGTGAAGTGGGCACCAAGTCTTTGAGAATCTTCTCTAGAGACAGCCCTCTTTGGTTCTACAACTCTTCCACCCAGCTTATGTGGCCTTGCATTCGTGGCTGCATCCACCTCCTCCACAGTGGCATATGTGATAAATCCAGAGCCTCTGAAGCATTTGGTGTTTGGATCTCTCATCACCACACAGTCTGTGATCATTCCCCTTTGCTCAACATGGTTCCTCAGACTCTGGCCTGTTGTTACAAAGCTCAAACCTCCAATAAAGAGCTTCCACAGCTGTTCAGACTCTTTGGGAGACTTTGACTTAGACAGGAAGACAGTGGGACATGAGACTTTAATGATGTTTACTCAATGGCATCCACCAGCATAAAGGAATGATCTGATGAACATATCTCTAGATGTTTCTATTACTGTGAGGGCCTCCAAGTATAGTTATGCATTTATTCATTTCTCCTTTCATCGGTATCTGATTTTTCCTTCATGATTTTGGAGTTCTATTAGGCACATACACATTTAGAATTGTTTTATGATAACTTGACTCCTTTATCATTTTTAAATGTCTTCTAAAACCTGGTAATATTCTTTGTACTGAAGTCTGGAGTTAATATTGTCACGTTTAACTTATTTGTGTAGTGCTTATGTGGTGTTATCTTTTTCTGTTTTCTTATTACATATGTCTTTATTTTTAAAGTGGTTTTTTGTGTGTGTACAAGGCATGTATTTGTGTCTTGCTTTTAAAAAAATCCCATTTGACAATCTCTACACTTTAATAGGACTATTTAGACTATTTACACTTAATGTGGTTAGCAATATGGTGGAATTTAAATCTACCATTTTGTTATTTGCTATTTATTTGTTCCATCTCTTTTTAGTGTATTCTGCCATTATTTTGTATTAGTTTCGGGTGTACAACATAGTGGCTAGACAATCATATACTTTACAGAGTGTACCCTTGATATGTTCAGTACTCACCTGGTACCATACATAGATATTACAATATTACTGAATATATTTCCTATGCTTTATATCCCCATGACCATTTTGTAACTACCAATCTGTACTTCTCAAGCCCCTCACCTTTTTAACCCAGTCCCCTAACCTTCCTCTCCCCTGGCAACCATCAGTCTCTTCTCTATCTCTGAATCTGTTTCCATCTGTTTTCTAGCAATTCCACGTAAAAGTGAAATCATATGGTATTTGTCTCTTTTTGACTTATTCCACTTAGTTTAATACCCCCTAGGTCTATCTATGCTGTCACAAGTGGTAAGATTTCATTCATATTTACAGCGGAATAATATTCTATTTTATATATGTATCACAACTCTTTCATCCATTCATCTATTGATGGGCACTAGTGTTGCTTCCATATCTTGGCTACTGTAAATAATGCTGCAGTGATCACTGGGATGCATATATTCTTCAAATTAGTGTTTTTGGTTTATTTGGATACGTACCCAGATATTGAACTGTTGGGTCGTAGGAAGTTTTATTTTTAATTTTTTGAGGAACTTTAATACTGTTTTCCATAGTGGCTGCACCAATCTGCAATCCCAACAGTGCATGGGGGTATTTTTTTTCCCCACACTCTCTTGTACACTTGTTTGTTGATTTACTGATGATAGCCATTCTGACAAGTATTGAGATGATATGTCATTGTGGTTTTAATTTGCATTTCTCTGATGATTAGTGATGCTGAGCATCATTTCATGTTTACTGTCCATATATATGTCCTCTTTGGAGAAGTGTCTATTCAGTTCCTTTGCCCATTTTTTTAATTGGAATTTTTTTCTTTCTTTCTTTCTTTCTTTTTTTTTTTTTTTTTTTTTTGCTGTTGAGTTGTATGAGTTCTTTGTAAGTTTTGCACATTAACCCCTTTTCAGATGTATCATTGGCAAATTTGTTCTCTCATTTAGTGGGTTGTCTTTTCATTTTGTTGATGTGCAAAATTTTTTTTAATTTGATGTAGTCTCGTTTATTTTTTTTCTTCTGTTTCCCTTGCCTGAGGAGCTATGTCAGGAAAAACAAATGTCAGAGATTTTACTGCCTATGTTTTCTTCTTGGAGTTTTATGATTTCAAGTCTTACATTTACTTCTTTAATCCATTTTGACTTTACTCTTGTATATGGTGTAAGGAGATGGTCTACTTTCATTTTTTTTGCATGCTGCTGTCCAGTTTTCCCAACACCATCTATTCAATAGACTGTCTCTACCCCACTCTATGATTTTGCCTCCTTTGTCATTATTAATTGACCATACAGGTGTGGGTTTATTTCTAGGCTCTCTATTCTGTTCCACTGAGCTATATGTCCATTTTTATGCCAGTACCATACTGCTTTGATTACTATGGCCTTGTAGTATAACTTAATATTAGGTAGCATGATACCTCCAGCTTTGTTCTTTTCAAGATTGTGGTGGCTATTTGTGGTCTTTTGTATTAAGCCTCTTTGGGATACTCTAAGCTTCTTGAGTCTGTGGTGTTTTGTCTTGCATTGGTTTTGGAAAAGTCTCAGCAATTATCTGTTCAAGTATCTTTTCTCTCCTGTTCTCTCTGTCCTCCTCCCCCTTTCTTTCTCTGCCCCTTTTCACTCTCCGTCTCCCTTTTTCTCTTTACCCCTCTTCTCCTGGGACTCCAATTATGTGTTCTTGAGGTAGTTTGATATTATCCCATAGTTCTCAGTTCTATTCTCTCTTTTCTCCTTTACTCTTAATTCTCTTCATGTTTCCGATTTCATAGTCTCTAATTACCTAATTGCCAGTTGCATTTTTTTCTCGGCTTTATCCAATCAAATTATTCATCCTTGATAATGTGGGTTTGTTGTTTTTTTTTCGCATTCCTGTTCATCCCTTTTATAGTTTCCAATTTTTTGCCGAAATTGCCTATTTGTTCAACATGTTGTCTACCTTTTCAACTAAATCTTTTAAAATGTTTAACTTGATTAAAATCTTTGATAGTTCTAACATCTGGATGGGCTATCCTATGGTCTGGTTCTGTTAACAATTTTATCTCTTGATAATTAGTGTTTTTTCTTTTCTTACCTTTGTGTGTCTCTTAATTTTTTATTGAATGTTGGACCTTGTGTGTACCAGGGTAGTAGGGACTGAGGTAAATAGTATTTATGCCTGGAAAAGGGCATACCTTTAATCTCATCAGGTCATTAGTGTGAAGTGTTGAGTTAACCTAGTTGGGAGCTGAGTTGCTGCTACCTTGGGCTAGTATGGGGCCTGGAGCACTGGAAGGTTCTACTCAGAGTTCCTGCTTCAGACTTAGCTTTCAGAAGGCCTTGGTGCCTCTTTCTTCTGTGCCTGAATGAATGCAGGGAGTGGGGAGTGGGAATCTTTCTCTGCACTCTTACCTCTTAGCCTATCTCCAGTGGTAGGCTGCTGTTGTTACCTGGCACAGAACTCATGGAAGGGCCAGGGGGATCTATCAGGGTTATTTTTTTGTTTGGTTTTGGTTTTGGTTTTTGGGGTTTTTTTGAGGTTTCTCAGTTCTCTTCTTGCAGCCCTAGTCTTGGGCAGGCCTTTTGTGCCTTTGCTCCATGAGTGGAGCTTTCTCAGATGTTCTTGCATCAAGGAGTTCTTGATGGGATACCATGTTTTTTTCCGACCTCGGTGCACTGAGCTTTGATTTGAACATTGTTGGGAAATGACCACCCAAAAGCTACTGGCATTTCTATGTTGGAACTTTAGCACTGGATAGAGTGATCTTTGGAGATAGTGGCTCTGACCCCACCCCTGCCATGGCCCTCAGGTCAAAGGCTTTTAGCTCTACAGTCTCGAGCCTCTCACCCTGACCTTCCATCAGTTATTTATTTAAGTCTTATCTGTCTACCTGGCCTTAGACCATCCATTTTGAGGGTAGGTGTCTTGTTCTCTGTGTATTGCTAGTGATGAAATGGTGCCTGGCACGTGGTAGGGGCTCAGCAATTGTCTCGAATGGATGAGGAATGAGCACAAGCCTGGAAAGCCCTTACCTCCCCTGCTTTCCAGCCTATAGACTCCTGCCCAGAATTCAAGTTCATGCAGATGTCAGGAGAAGCCTTTCTGGGAACTTCCTGAGTTTGGGGAGCGGCCTCTCCTGCACCCCAGCTCTAGCACAGATCTTGCAGTACTTATGTAACTGCTTGCACCGCTGCTCCCTCCATCGAGGTCCCCAGGGCAGAGTCCTGCTAGCTGGGCCTGTCCCACCCAGCTCTGGGTAGACTGCTTGGTGAGCCAATGGAGGACTCTTGCTGCACCAGGACCTGCCCCAGCTTTGGGCTGATTCTGCATGCGCACGCTGAGTTAAAATATTTAAGGCCTCTTTTCTCGTTTCAGCAAAAGTGAACCACCACATTCCCCTCGGTGGATATAAGAGGACTTGGGCTGGAAGCATGTGGTGGGTCCTGCGAGGCTGGGGGCGAGGGCACCTGAACCCCTGGGGAGCCCAGGGGCGGCAGTGGCTCCCCGGCATCCGTGCTCTGGCCAGTGTGGCCTCCAGGCGTGGGAATGAATACAGTCATGTGGTGGTGGGTGCAGGCTCCGCGGGCTGTGTGTTGGCCAGTCGGCTCACCGAGGACCCTGATAAGCATGTGTTGCTGCTGGAGGCTGGGCCCAAGGACATGTATGCAGGGAGCAAGCGGCTCTTGTGGAAGATCCACATGCCTGCGGCCCTCGTAGCCAACCTGTGCGATGACAGGTACAACTGGTACTACCACACCGAGCCGCAGGCAGGCCTGGACAGCCGTGTGCTGTATTGGCCGCGTGGCCGGGTATGGGGAGGCTCTTCATCCCTCAACGCCATGGTCTACATCCGTGGGCACGCCGAGGACTATGACCGCTGGCACCGACAGGGTGCCACGGACTGGGACTATGCACACTGCCTGCCCTATTTCCGCAAGGCACAGTGCCATGAGCTGGGTGCCAACAGGTACCGTGGCGGCGACGGCCCGCTGCATGTGTCGCGGGGCAAGACCAACCACCCGCTGCACCGGGCATTCTTGGAGGCGGCACAGCAGGCCGGCTACCCGCTCACCGAGGACATGAATGGCTTCCAGCAAGAAGGCTTCGGCTGGATGGACATGACCATCTACAAAGGTAGTATAAGGTGCCCATCCCCCATCTCCCTGGTAATTCCTTTAAGAAAAAAAAAATTACTGTTACACCCCCCTCCTTCCTGCTCCCATCATGGTAAGTGTCAACAAACGGGCTGGTACAAGGTGGAGGGGCATGTGACATACTGCGCTCCCTACAGGCCACAAAATACAACCTCAGCCGATCAGAAATGACATGGGGATGGTGACACCCTGAGCATTCTCTGGGTCTCTGACTCCTGAGGGTGTGGCTAACAAGAGTCAGCTCTCTGGCCAAATAACTTGAAGATCTCTCGACACTTTTTGACAGAGGGGAAACTGAGACACAGAACACTCAGGGGGCTCCAGGTAGATGTGGATTTCAGTTGTACAGGGTCTTTTGGTCTCAGCCTTACTTGGAAGGCAGAGCTCCCACTCTCAGGGGCAGGACAGATTCCCTTTGTGGATGAGCTTATGCAGGGTGTGCAGGTGCCAGGGGAAAGGGCAGGGGCGGTGCCTGAAACCCTTGCTCTGTCCTGCAGGCAAGCGCTGGAGCACAGCCTGTGCGTACCTGCACCCAGCACTGAGCCGCCCCAACCTCACAGCCGAGGCCCGGACGTTTGTGAACAGGGTGCTGTTCGAAGGCACCCGTGCAGTGGGTGTGGAGTACATCAAGAATGGCCAGAGCCATAGGGTGAGCCAATTACCCCCAGGCCTGGGCAGCTCAGAAGGCAGGAAGGGAGTGGGCAGTAGTCATGTTTTTGTCTCCACCAGCACTGTGATGAGGAGTGAGCAGCTGGTGGCAATGGCCTGAAGAGGTGTGGAAACCCCCAGTTCAGCCACCTGCAAAGAGCCTGTTGTGCCCTGGGAGCCTGTCTGCCACTCCCCATCTCAGAGCCGTGCCCCGCCCCCCGCCAGTACCTTCCACACCTTTTCAGAAGTTGGTAGGTTTTACTATGATCATACTCCACACTTCTGCATCGCGCTGTTTCCACGTAGCAGTGTGTCAGGATTGCTCTGTGTCCCACTTGAAGGTCTGGTCACTGCTTGCTTGATTGAAAGCGCTCGTTTGCGTGTGGTTTCTCATTTAAGTTCCACAGTCCTGCTTTTGAGACCATCATTGCTAGCTCGCTGTTGCAGAATAGTTCAGCGTATGAGCCATGCTTTATCTACAACTGCACGCCAAAGTTGAAGGTGTGGGTAGCTCTCACACAGCGCCTAAGCATCCTCTTCCCACTTGGGTATGTCATTCCGAGGCCACGTTCTCAGGGCTCTGCCTGCCTGTTGGGGAAGGGAAGGAAAGTGCGATCTACTCGGCCTCTGCCTCTCCCAGGCTTACGCCAGCAACGAGGTGATTCTGAGTGGAGGTGCCATCAACTCACCGCAGCTGCTCATGCTCTCAGGCGTCGGCGATGCAGATGACCTCAAGAAACTGGGCGTCCCCTTGGTGTGCCATCTCCCGGGTGAGGTCCCTTCTCCACTGCTCCCAGAGGGTATCTGTGCTAAATAAAAATGGTTGATTGTATTTTATTGGCACGGAGAGGACAAGAGTCAGTGCTCAGCATTGTCACACTTCTCTCGTGAGACTGAAGGCCCCTCATGCCTCACAGGACACTTCTCCCCCCACCAGGGACCCCAAGTCTTTGTATTGTTTCCCCCCCCCTTTCCTGGCCATCCTATCCCACTGAGAGGTGATGCTCCTCTAGCAGCGAGCATGTGCCGGTAAAGCCCAGTGGGCCAGGCTCCGGCTGGTCACCAGAGCAGCTGGATGATGAGGGGGGCCCAGGCCTTTGTGTTTTCCATCCTCAGGACTCACTGGGCATTCTTGCCTGTGAGTCTTGATGTTAAATGCTCTGATGTTAAAGATGCCAAGTCAGAGCTTCTGAGTGTGCTTTTCATGTTAAGACAGTTCTCCAGGCCTGAAATGTATTTTATAAACTCTCTTTGATGCCCTTGCAGCCTGTCCCATTTTCTGTCTCTTATAACCCAAGCTCCCTGAGGTCTGGGCCTTCCTGCATTAAGTCTTCATAAGAAGTCTGTGAAAGTGCTGGTGCACGACAGTGACTGGCCAGTATCCCCTTGAGCTTGGATGAGCCCGTGCAGGGTCTGCACAGATGATGGGGGCTGCGACCCTCCTTCCCCAGGCCAGGGGTGAGGGTGGGGCTGTCAGCCATTCACTGAGCAGTATCTGCTGCATACGTGGGCCCTGCCCTCACGGAGGGTGCTGCTCGGCAGGCAGGCACCTGGATGGTTACAGGTGCTTCCCTGGGAGTGAGTGACAAGGGCAGGTGGTTTTGGCAAGATCTGAGAGGGCTGGAATTGGTGGGGAGAGAAGGGTGTCCCTGGGAGGCGACCTCCAAGCTGTGACCTGCGGACTGAGCTTTGCAGATGAGTGGATAGGTGAGAAATTTTCAAAACCAGGGGGATGTTGAGAGGTCAGCTAAGGCCCTCTTGGTAGCCATTTTTCCTCACCATTCTCTCCTATTTTAGGAGTTGGCCAGAACCTGCAAGACCACCTGGAGATATATATCCAGCAGGCATGTACCCGCCCCATCACTCTCCACACAGCACAGAAGCCCTTGAGGAAGGTCCGGATTGGTCTGGAGTGGCTCTGGAAGTTCACAGGTGGGTGAGCTCATCCATGACCTTGGCAGAGATGCTCTGTGGGCAGCACCGCCTCCTTCATGAGGTGCTGAGCAAGGGCTCTGCCCAAGGTTGCTGGTTTGAAGCTGAGCTCTGCCATGTACTTCAGCTCTTGGCGCCTCAGCTTTCCCATCTGCAAAATGGGGTACAGAGTTCCTGTCTGGCGGGCTGCTGTGAGGACCAGACTCGACAGCACAGGCCCTGACCCGGGTGAGACTCCTCACAGGCTAGGTGCCACTCTTCCTTGCAGACAGGTGGGGATGGCCTTGCGCTGGACACCCTGAGGTGTCTTAAGGAGCCGGGAGAAAGGCACTTGATGCTGGACTGTAGAATCGGCATCCATTTCTTAGCATTTTTCATTTGTTTTCTGTCTGAGTGTGAGTTTGGCCAGGAAGTGGTGTTTTGAAATCCTACTCATTCACCCAGCATGTATTTCTTGCACACCTACTATGAGCTGAGTGCTAGAGGGTGAGAAGTGCCAGAAAGGCAGATGTCCTTGGGCGGTGTACACTGTAATGGGGACAATGGAAACAACCAGGTAAACATGCTAAATTTTTAAGTACAGTGAAAGAAAGATCTGGCCATTGATTAAATTAGAGCATAGTGGTAGGGGATCTGAAAGGCAGGGAGAATATATGCAAAGGCTTCTGGACAAGGCATCTAATTAGTTGGGCCAGGGAGCTGGCAGCACATGGAAGAGGAAGCAGCGGCGGGAGGTTGGAGGGGAGAGGGCTTGACCATGAGGCTGTGTGTGAAGGGTGGGCTGCAGGAGACACTGAGGGAGGCCTGGGCTCCAGTAAGATCACCAGAGCTACCAGTCGAGAGGTGATCTGGGCTTGGACCGAGGCAGCAGGAGTGTGGGTGGCAATGCCAAGCAGATCGATTCAAGCTGCTTTTGGAACTGAAGTTGGTGAGATTTTCTGATGTGCTATGTGGTAGGCAATGAGGAGGAGGAAGGTGGCAGAAGACAGATTAAGTTTCTGCCTTTAGCCTTGTATGAAAGGAACAGTCACAGGGGGAGACTGACAAGGACTCTAGGCTGGGCCAGGTCAGAGATGCCCGTGGGACATCAGGCCTCACAGTCCAGTCTCAGTGGTGGAGTCGGCGGAGAAGCAAAGCTGAACACCGTCAACATGCAGCTGAAATTGAAAGCTGTTGGTGCTGGGCGAGGCCGGCCCGCCAGCCATGCCTTGCCTTACTCCTTTTCTAATCCTCAGGGGATGGAGCCACGGCCCATCTGGAAACAGGTGGGTTCATCCGGAGCCAGCCTGGGGTCCCCCACCCAGACATCCAGTTCCACTTCCTGCCGTCCCAAGTGATCGACCACGGGCGTGTCCCCACCCAGCAGGAGGCGTACCAGGTGCACAGATCTTCTCACCTCTCCCAGTGTGGCAGGGCCTTCCGCGGCGGGGTGCAGATGCCTGTGCCCTGCCTGGCATCTGCTCAGACTCTGAGCCCAGACGGGCAGTCTATGCGCTGCATGGGAAGGGGAGGCCCACAGCCCGCTCAGGGCAGATACCAGAAACTGATGAATTGCACCAACTCTGCCCAGGGAGTGCCAGCTCCTGAAGGTTTTGGGCAGTCAGGCATAGAGGCAGGAGTGAGTCCTCAAGGTGGTTTTTAATCACTGTGGAACGTCAGGGCAGGGGACGGTAAGAAGAAGGCAAATACTAAAATTTATAGATATAGAGTCCCACCCACAAGAAACCTGAGACCTGTCTAAACTGAGCTGGGTTAATGGCAGTGACTGCTCACTCTGGATTCGTCTAGGTGCACGTGGGGACCATGCGGGGCACGAGTGTGGGCTGGCTCAAACTGAAAAGTGCCAACCCCCAGGACCACCCTGTGCTGCAGCCCAACTACTTGTCAACAGGTAATTCACCAGCCACCTTTGTATCCCCTAGGCCTGGGCTTGCTGGGGGCACTGATGGAATGACTGCCTTTATGGGTTCACCTTTGTCCCTGAACCACATTATCTGAGACACAAGTCACTTTCCGTCCTCCCTCCGCCCCATCATTCTAGGCTGTGAACTTGCACGTGCTGCTCTGTTAGTGCCCTGGGTCACTTGAAGTAACCCTGGGGCATCATTTTACACAGTAGAGGAGATCTGCAGTTTTCAAAACAATCTACCAGGAGGTTCAAGGCAACCTGGCTGTGTACACATAGCTCACAGAGCATTTTTCCTGCTGTTACTGTGAGCATCTTTTAAAAGCAAACTATATTCCTGAGTCGTCTTCTTTGCCTATGTCAAAAATGAGCACTCCCCATCCAGCAGGTTTTGCCCAGTAAAAACTTGCTGGGCACTCACGGCCACACTGTGGCAGAGGCAAGGCATGTATGCTTATTCCTTTACAGGAAAGAAAATTCAGATCCCTGGTTTATTTTTTTACTTTTTTAATGATTTTATTTATTTTTTTAATTTATAAATTAAATTAAATTAAAAAAATTTAATTTATTCTATTACAGTTGTCTCAATTTTTACCCCTTTACACCTGTCTACCCATCCCACCCCGCCCCCCTCTCCCACAGTCAATTCCCACTCTGTTGTCCATGTCCATGGGTCATTCCTACTTGTTCTTTGTCTAGCCCCTTCCCCTTCTTTCCACCATTGTCCTCTTTCCCCATCCCCTCTGGTCACTTTCAGTCTGCTCCATGTTTCCATGCCTGTGGTTTATTTTGTTCATTAGTTTATTTTGTTGAAGAGATTCCACTTATAGGAGAGATCATATCGTATTTGTCTCTCACCAACTGGCTTATTTCACTTAGCTTAATATTCTCCAATTCCATCCATGTTGTCGCAAAAGGTAGGAGTTCCATCTCTCTCTTTTCTTTCTTTCTTTCTTTCTGAAATGCAGATTGACATTTAAAAAGTAAATAAAATCAAAGTTAACTATAAAATATGAAAAAATTTTAAAACCATTATAAAGTCTCAGCAATTAAACCAACATGACACCTGCACAGAAATAATCAATTAGATCAATGAAATACAACGAGCGTTCTAGAGACAAACATATATAGCTGTCTAACAATATAATATATGATTAAGTTGCTATTTCAAGTCAATGGGGAAAATAAGGCTTATTCAACAAATAAGGTGCATGGACCACTATTACTTGAAATAAAACAAATATAGAGCCCTATTTCACATATTATACAAGAAATACTCAGGTGAGTTAAAAATCAATATGTAGAATCTAAGGAGTTTTAGAAGAAAATAGACCTAATATTTTTCATGACCTGAAGTAAAATATTCAAACCCAGACGCTAAAAAGTAAATATTGACAATATGACTATATTAAACAGTTAAGACTATATAGTAATATACACTTAAAAAAGGTTAAAGGACAAGGAATAGAATAGGAAAGTATTTGCAACACATCTAAAACATGGTTAATAGGGTTGTTTGTTTGTTTTTAGGGGAAAAAGTTCTACAAACCTTTAATCAATAAATGAATAAAGAATACCAAAAAGTAATTTAAAGCTTTTTAAAAATAATAGAAATAGGCAAGAAATATACAAAGACAGGTTTAATTTCAACAAATAGTAAAGGAACAACTGAAATAACATCATCGTCACAATCAGATTAATGAGTATTAAAAATATTGGTAATATCAAGTATTGGCAACTCTGAAAGGAATTAGGTATTCATAGAAACATTCTCTTCATCTTAAAGCAGTCCCTTTAGCATATTTTGCAGTGCTGGTTTGGTAGAGGTGTATTCTTTTAGTCTCCTTTTGTCTGGGAAACTCCTTATTTCGCCTTCCATTTTCACTGAGAGCCTTGCTGGGTAAAGCAGTCTTGGTTGCAGACCTTTGTATTTCATTACTTGGAATATTTCTTGCCACTCCCTTCTGGCTTGCAGTATTTCTGTTGAGAAGTTGGCTGCTAGCTGTATTGGGGCTCCCTTATATGTGACTACCTCTTTCTCCCTTGCTGCCTTTAGGATTCTCTGTCTTTGATATTTGCCATTTTAATGATGATGTGTCTTGGAGTGGACCTCCTTGGGTTCCTCTTGCATGGGACCCTCTGTGCTTCCTGGACTTGTGGGACTTTTTCTCTCCTCCAAATTAGGGAAGTTTTCCATCATTACTTTTTCAAACAGGTTCTCTATCCCTTCCTCATCCTCTTCTCCTTCTGGTATCCCTATTATACGGATATTATTACATTTCAGGTTGTCCTGCATTTCCCTGAATGCCTCTTCATTCTTTTTGAGTCTGTCTTTCATTTTCTTCCTCTTTCTGGGAGCTTTTTTCTACCTTGTCCTCCAGCTCGCTGATTCAGTCCTCAGCTTCATCTAGCCTGATTTGGATTCCTTCTACTGTGTTCTTCAATTCAGAAATCGTATTCTTCATTTCCTCTTATCTCTTATTGATAGTTTCTATGTCCTTTTTCATGCTGATATAGTTTGTAGTACATTCCTCATAGTTTCCCTGTAGTTTTTTGTAATTCTCTCTGAGCTCACTGAGTTCATTGAGCTTCCTTAGAACCGTTGTTTGGAACTCAATATCTGATAGTTTACTTGCCTGTATTTCATTTAGTTCTCTTTGTGGGGATTCCTCTTTTCCTTTTGAGTGGGGCATATTTCTTTGTCTTCCCATTATTTGTGAGGCTCTTCTCTTTCGCTTCTGATTCTTAAGATGATCTGTCTTGATTTTCTGACTTTGTGGTGTGAACTTCTATAGTTGGAGACCACTGTTTTTACTTTCTTGATCTGCCTCTGATGATGTCAGATGTCGTCCCTGTCTGACCTTAGGCAGTCTGTTCGAGACTTCCAGGAATCTACTGTTTGTGGCTGTCTCCTTCAGCTGTTAATCTAGTCCCAGATCCCTGATTTAAACCCAGGGCCCCTGAGGCAAGCTGTGTCCATCTAGGATAATCTCAATTTGGGCTTCATGGGCCTCTGCTTGGTTGCAGTGTAACTGCCTATGGTAGGAGACAAGCAGCCTGGTAGCTTGGACTTCCGTGGCCCTTAGGCAGCTTACTGAGCATCTCCATGCCTAGAACCTTCCAGCAAGGCCAGTCTGATAAGAGGAGTCTCACCTGTTTTTTCTGTTCGACAGAAACCGATATTAGTGACTTCCGTAGATGTGTGAAGCTGACCAGGGAAATTTTTGCACAGGAAGCCATGGCGCCGTTCCGGGGGGAAGAGCTCCAGCCAGGAAGCCACGTCCAGTCAGATAAAGAGATTGATGCCTTTGTGCGGGCGAAGGCAGACAGCGCTTACCACCCCTCGTGCACCTGTAAGATGGGCCAGCCCTCTGATCCCACTGCCGTGGTGGATCCACAGACCAGGGTGATTGGGGTGGAAAACCTCAGGGTGGTCGATGCCTCCATCATGCCCAGCGTGGTCAGCGGCAACCTGAATGCCCCCACGATCATGATTGCAGAGAAAGCGGCTGACATCATTAGGGGGCGGCCTGCACTCTGGGACAAGGATGTCCCTGTGTACAAACCCAGGACCCTGGCCACCCAGCGCTGAGGCAGTCACTGCCTGAGAAGGCCCCTGACAAGTGCAGAGGACCAGCACAGCCCTTGTCCAAATGCTCTTTCCTGAAACTACGTTAGAATTCAATGGCAGAGAACTGGATAATTTTTTAAGAAATGAGATCAGTACTGATCAGTGAATCGGATGCCTTTTCCCTTGCATTTTCCTCTGCGCCCTTCGGGGAAGGCAAGGCCAGTGGAGGATGGCACCCTCCAACCCAGAGTCCTGACGCCTTCCTTGTCCTGGCTGGACCTGAGGAAAATGGTTCTCTCCCAGGCCTCCCTCTGAAGGTGAGCCCCTGAAAGAGCAGGGTGCTATGCAGAGAGGCTGGGTGCTGCCTTCTCCACAGGGGCACCCCACACCTCAGGCTTCAAGCCGTAGCTGAGGACAGGAGTCATGCCATAGTTAAGGAATGCAGCGTTGACGTGTGCCTAAGCCTCCGGTGTGTCCTTGTTCAGAGGGAGAGCTGCCTGCAACGACACCCAGACCTCTCCTTTCTCTTCCTGATCTCACTCCCAGAGTGTGGAGGCGCTGGTGCCCGATGGGGCACTCTGAGTCGCCTGCAGCCCACCTGCCTGATGCCCTGCTCCTTAATAAACACCATCAGCCCAACGAGAGGTTTTCTGGACCTTGTTCAAGGAGAGAAGAGTCTGGAAAGACTTCACGACTACAGGTTTCACAATTTCCCATTTTAAAAGGAAGCCTGGAACCCAGAGCAAACCCCACATACCAGACCACCGCTCCACACCAAAGCAGCTAGCCCAGGACGACACCTCCCCCTCAGCCTGGGGAAACCACTCAGCGCCGGACAAGGCTGGCTAATTTTTATTCTGCAGATGTCCGTGGGAACAGACCAGGATGGAGCCGAGACCAACAGAGAAGGCAGTCAAGTGAAACTATGCTGCTTGATCCTGTAAAAATGCAACAGAGAGAAAAATTGTCAAAGATTTGAGTTGGGGGTTGTGGGGCAGGGTGGGGGGGTGGGGAGAAAACCAGATACAAGTAGCACTTAAAACCATTATTTGATCTTTAAACCTCTTATAATTCAATAATGTAATCCAGTAATTTATTTTTGAACAGAGATGCCTTATCCAGATGGTTCTTACAAGGTAATGAAAACTAAATGCATTTTGGATTGATTTTGTTTTTTAAAGCTATTCAAAGCCACCATCTCATGGCAGGGAACAAAAGAATTGCTATATGGACACCTGCCATGCTGGGCCCAGAACAAAGAAGGGGGAGAAAATGGGACATTTCAGGCTTCTCCCAGGATCGGAGTGGACTGAGATGGCTTGGAGGCCCGACAGCCGTAACTTAATGTTTCCGAGAGAGACCTTCCAGAAAGGTGGGAAGAAGAAAACTGTCACCTCTTCTTCCTTTAATTCTTACCTGTATCCTGCTTAGTTTTCTGATCCAAGAGGGGGTCAAGAAAGAAAATTCTAACTCTGCCAAGAGGTTTATTTCTCCTAGAGAGGTGCCCCCGCCGTGGTCCCCAGCCATCACTGCTGGGTCTCGGAGGCGTCTGTAGGGCCAGAGGAGCAGTGGAGGGGCACGGGGGCCAGCCCCACAGCCCTGAGGGCCAAGAAGTAATGAGTTAGGGGTCCCAGGTGTCTGTGACTATACCGACTCTCTCCGGTGCAGGTGGAGTAGGTGACACAGCCATTCCGTTCTGCCGTCGCTGCGTTCTGTGGTAGTCTCAGTCTCCGAGGCAGTGGCTGGTTTGCTACTGTGGCTGAATTGCAAGCTAAGCAAAATAACAGGTCCCCATGCAGCTCGCTTCTATCCTGGCCCCTTTCCCACTCTTGCTTGCAGGGCCTTGTTCCTGCAATCGCCCAGGGTAGCCATACACACAAATGTTTCAAAAGAGAAGACCGGCAGTGTCACGTATACGGGACCCGCAGAAGTCAGAGTGGGAAACTGCTGCTGGGGTTCAGACCCAGGACAGAACTGGTCTGACTGGAGTGCCGTGGCTGTCTGGGCAGAATGCGCTGTGGCCCATGTCACAACCACCGGGCTGTCTGCAACTCCCACTGCCACAAGGGACCCTTCCACGTCCAAAAGGGCAGGCTGTGGTCTGGGGAAGCCGGAGGGGGAGAAGAGAGCCTACTGGAGTTGTGGGGGAGGAACCACAGCTGGGCTGCCCACACAGGGATGCGGCCAGCACTCTGCCTCTCGAGGAATCGGACAGGCTTTGTTATTGAAATCCCTGAGTGAAAGCCTGTAGTCCCTAAAACAATAAAAGAATATACTTTACAAAAAGTGGCTTAAAAAGCATAGCAGAAAGCTGTGTATGTGCCTAGTGACCAGGCTCTGAGGAGCACTGACTCCTTTGAAGAAGCCTGTGTTTAGGCTGATGTGACATCAGCAGAAGGATCTTCCTGCTAGAACAAAAGACAGAACACTCGGGTTTAGGAGCAGCGTAACCAGGAAATGGCAGGTCCTGGAAGAAGGAACTCTGGCACCTTGACTACATCCTTTCTGTTTCCAGGGCAGGCAGCAAGAATCATTTCCATAAAGTCAAATAGACTCTTCTCTCCAGCCAAACCACATCCCTCCACCCAAAGGTCATTCTCTATTTCCACTGATTAACTTAACCTCAGATGTGATACCTAGATCATTTCTCTTAAAAACCATGAGAGAAACCACACCACGTCTCCACTGGCCCTGCGCTGAAGCCCAGGCAGCCCTCATATCGCCCCCCAGGCCCATCCCCAAGACCACATTCAATTTGTTCCCGTGTTGGAAGGAAGGGCCCCAGGCTGCTCCTCATTCTCTCTTGCCCTCTAAAGTTGCCAGTAGACAAGGAATATCATTGTAGAGAAAAAAAAATGTTCAACAAATGGAAGCGCAGCTGGAGTCTGTTGAGTTGGGGTAATCTGATAAAGGACCAGAGCTGTTGGGTGCTGCTGCTGCTACCGCTATCGCTAACCTTTTTTTAGAAGTGATTGCCCTTCATAGCAATAAAAACCTTTGTAGAAAAGCAGACAATTGACACAGACACTTTCGACCATGGTATAGCCTGTAAAAAAAACCACATGACATAAACGACCCTGGTTTCTTTCACATGCGTGGGATCAAGAGTAAAGTGGGCTCATCCAGCAGACCAAGCCCACGCTGCACCGAGATGCTTCTGGGGCCTTGAACAACCAACCACCCTTCCTGGCCTGGGGCTGATACCGACACATCTGGGAGTGGAGCTGGGAAGTGCTGCCTGGCCAAGTGTGGATGGGGATCACAGTTATTAATGAGGTTCTTGCTCACCGATAGTTAAATCAGAGCTGCCATTTCCATTTTGTGATATGAAAAACAATAGATTAAAGAAAATAAATGTACTATTCCTGGGGACACAATGAAATGACATTTTTTAGGGGGTGGAAGGGGAACCAAGGGGAAAGACATTTAATCATAACACTTTCCTAAAACAAAGAAACCATGCTCTACAACTTCAAATTTTTCTTACAAAGAAAAATTTAATGTTAGATGAGAGATTGAACCAGGCTTAAAGCAGACATATTAGGAGTGGTGCAGCCTATAAAAATGCCAGTTTTTAAGTACTGGGTGGAAAACAGCATTACCTATACCAGAAAAGTCAGTCCTGGTAGGCAATGTTGGACTGGCGATGTTAAACCACACAGTAAGACCAATACCTAAAAGAGAAACAGAGTCTGAGGTGATGGTAACAGTGGTTTAGCCCTTTAGGAGAAACAGTGCTCTCTGCAGCTGGTGTTAAGTTACCGTAGGCATTGAAGGAGCCACGAGAACGAGGAAAAATCTACACAATTACAGAACTGCCCTCACAGAGTGCCCGCCCCGTCCGAGGCTCTCACTGGCAAATGCCACTGCTTTGCAAGGAGAGCTCCCAAATACAATAAAATTATTACACAGTTTTATTCTGAAGAACATTGTACATTTTAATAAAAAAGAATTTACGTCAGGAAAGAGTCATTTACAAACCTTGAAGAGTTTTTGCCTGGATCTGGAGTAAGAATGTCTTAAGAGGAGGTTTGTAAGGTCTCCATAACAAAGTATTGTTATTTACAAAAAAAAACCATCAACAGGTTGTCTATGTAATATTTAAAAATTTTGAACCAAAAATTGCTACCTATTTTTTGATTGCAGAGAGTCCCTGCCAAGGTAACTTGACAAAGTCGGCATAATCCTGTGAACAGAAAAGGAAGCCTTGACAGGTCTAATGATCCAAAGTGGGTTTTCCTCAGGAAGTGCCATTGGCGTGGGAGTGCATTCTAGTGAAAACTCCAGCCCTCGTTCGGTTGCATATAAAAGCCCTCAGAACACACAGCACAGCAGTGTTTTGTAAAAAGGCAACGATATGATTTGTCCGGACCCCAACCTTCTACCCTGTAGACGGTCGTGTCCCTTTGCCCCCGCTCCGTCCCCTCTTCCCCAGCATTCCTTATGTCTTAGGACAAGCAGCATCGCCATTTCCCAGGGGACATGAGCAGAGGGACTTCATTCACCTGCAAGGATGTCCTGTGGGGGCAGGTGAGAAAACCCACCACTATGAATGCCACAGGGTCAGAGTGAGCAGCTTGACCTAGTCTGTCATGAGCTTATGGGTATGGGGTTAAAGTAAAACAGAAGACAGCTGCAACCCATGCTGGAGCAAAAGGTATGCTATCAATCATAGAACTCCTGCCCAAGGAGAAGACTGCAAATAGTCATCCTGGTATATCTTGTGTAAAGATAGATTTATAGTGACTCAAAATATTTTAGAAAAATCTCTGCAGTGTCAGGTTCTTTTGAACTTAACATTTTATCCCCAAAAGATTTTCACTGAATAAATGAGAATTGGCTCTATTTCTTCTACTTCTGTTGAGTCTGAGTAAAAATACCAATAATTTCTAGATTTCAGTGGGGAACTACAATTATTAGGACCCGTGGATATTGCTGCAGTTCAAATACGGTACAATAATTACAAAATATAGACCATCTCTTTACAAATACAAATTATAGTATATTACAAGACATGTACAGTAAATCTATAATTTTTAAACAAACTAGCGTATCTAAGTTGACCTGGTTGTGAGTGAATTATTATTCCAGTTTACAGTTGCCCTTAGCCTGACAGTCAGAAACCGACCATCTGAGTGATGCTCTCTCATGTAAACTGGTGTCACATAACAGAAAACCTTGCTTTTTACGTCCTGCTTCCCTCTCAGGATGACAGCTGGTAGGTAGGCCCTGACATACTGCAGAACAGGAATCAGGAAGCAGTGTATTCTGAAGGGAAGGGTTTAAAAATGGATATGCTGGGCCCAGTGAATGTCTGATATGCTAGACCGGTGACTGAGGTAATGACACAGGTATGGTGATCGTCATCACCTTTAACCTTCCCCACCATGCCTGGGGGCGGGTGGGCATGGGCGAGCACCCTGGCTGGGCTCTGAACCAGAGGGCAGGGCTTGTCCAGCACCCGTCCTTGGTGAGAGGGCTGGACCTGCTGTTCCCTACAGCTGGGGCTCGGCACATGAGCACAGCTGTGCCCCACCAGGTTTATGGCTTCCTTGAGGCATGACATCGCTTGTACAAAAGTCTATTTGAATATGGACTTCACACTAGTGCCTAAACTCTCCTAACTACGAGGCACTTCTTCCCTGGCCCGCCGGCGCCCCACCTGAGGGCAGAGCCAGTCTGCCCCTCCCCGGGGGCTACAGGGTGGTGATGCATATCATTTCATCCGCCAGGTCCTCCTCCTCTCTCCCGGGGTCTGGCTCTTCGTCACTGTAGCCCGGCCCGAAGTCCTGGAGCTCATAGTCCTGCCGGCTTGAGATGGGGCCCACGTCCCCGTTAGCCCGGGGGTGCATGGTCCCATTAAGCAGGTTGCTGGCTGCACTCTCCATCTCGTCGATGGTGAGGTCGCAGGCATCGGCAATTTCGTGTTTTGTGGCCGACACGAATTTGGGGTCCCTTGCATACCGTCCTAAGCCTTCAGATATCAGGACCTGCACAGGCAAGAGGGTCAATGGCATGAATGCATTACAATGACAGGGAACCCACCTCAAGCACAAACTGATGTGCTTCTGGGTGGGGATCAGCCAGTCGTGTTCGCTGGATGTCACTCATGGCAACTAAATGTCAATGTAAATGGCTTCGGCTTTGAAATATGAAACTCGGAAACTATATACTCGGTACATGGCCTCACAAGAATGAAACCCATTGGGGAAGAATCTTTCACTACCAACTGGTAATAGCTGCAGGAATAACGTGTAATCCTAGGTATGGCTCATTTATGGGATTCAGCAGTGGTGGTGGTTTTATGCTCATGCTTCCAGTACCATTCTTGCTTAGAAGGTGTCCAGGTTAGAAGCGAGGTAGCCTGGCTCTGGACGCCTCCCACCCTCAGAGCCACCGCCCACTCCTGCTGTGTGTGGTTCTCAGATGCCACCCCCGCTGTGCCTGTAGCCGGCCATACTCACTGCCTCCACCAAGCTGTCTGCGCTCCTCTGCTTGTCACTGTTTTTGTTGTGGAAGCTGCTGGGGACAGTCAGGCTGGCTGGTGTGAAAGTCCGATAGGAGATGCCAGGCTCGTCCGTGTACCACGAGCTGCGGTGCAGGGACGGAAGGCTGCCGTTGACCTGGTCCAGGGCCTCCGACTGCTCCACCTGGATCAGGGGGGTGTAGCACGGCGTCCAGTCCCGGTACGGAGGGGTTGCTGGAGGGGTAGCCCATGACCGGGTTGAGTGGCTTGGTGAGTATTTCTGGGCTTTACTTGAATCTAGGCCTGCAACTGCCATGACCTGAGGAGAAAGGGGGAGCAAGGAGACCAGAAGTCCTCAGAGGTCTAGGCCTTGGGCGTCCTCACAGCAGACCCAGCGGGAGGCCCTGTTTTGTAGGGGCAGCCTCAGACAAGGACTATAAAAACACATGGAGCACATTAAATGAATTGGCAGTAAAATGTGACTTTCTAGCAGACTGCATTTCCTTCTTCCCCAAATCCACATGCATTTCCTATGACTCTTCCCAAGTGGGAATCAACTGCTAATGAATGGAATCACTTCAGAAAGATGAGGCATCAGGGAAGACATACAAGCTGGGAGTATGAACATGCTCCCGATGGTTTAAATATGGGAGTACATTCAGGACAAACTAATGGGTCCCAGAACCCACGGGGAAATACAGCTGTTCTCTTTACTCTAGTGCATCATATCACAGGGCCAGCCTCTGCCTGCTCGGAGGCACCGGGTACAGGCCTTGCTCTCCCACCTCTGGTGACAGCAGAGCAGATCCACCTCAGTGTCCACTCTGCACTGGGGGACCCTGAGGCCAGTCTTGTGAGCAGCACAGGGGAGGCAGCGCACACAGGATCTGGGCCTGGCCAGGGCAGGGTGGGACGGGGCAGGACAGGGCAGCAGAGGGAAGGCGTTTTCATGCTTGTTCTCTGGGGAGATTGCCATGCCTACTTCGTTCGTGGCATTTGATGACCTGGGCCTTCCCAGGACTTGTCCTTCTTCCACGATAAAGCAGGACACAAATTAAAATGAATGTAAAAAGCTGGCAGAGAGACTGAAATAGAAAATCTGAAATGGCAGCTACTGTTCACGTGCTCAAGGTGCCCAGGGTGCTCAGGACAGGAAACCTGCCCAGAGAGCCGGCTCCGCACACTTGCAGACTGGGCGCGCACCATACAAGCCGCTCGCCACCTCCGCCACCTTTTCTAACACAGACAAGTGGACAGAATCTCTAATGTGCTCTTTTCAGAAAGAAAGAGTCCTTGTCCTTGAGGCAAAGCCTGGGGTGTGGGCTCTGGCCCCACGTCCTCCTGTCTAGATGCCCTGTCGGTCCTTCTCCCTGGCCCACACACTCCCCGCAGGCAGGGTCAGGAGCTCACCCCATCTGTGACCACAGGCCCCCGCCCATACAGGACTCCATACATGAAGGAACCACCTCTCAGAGCAAATAAAGAGTAGTGCTGCTTGTTCAGGGCCAGTCTAGTGGCCACCACTTCCTGGTCCATGAATCGTGTCAGGCCCTGTCTTCAATGCTGAGGACAGATGGCAGCACTGGCAGCTGGCAGCCTTGGATTCAAAAGCCAACCTGGTCACTCATCTACCCTCTCGGATGTTTGCTCATCATTACAATGGGGTTCATAATAGCATATGTTTGCAGGGTTGTTACACAACTGAACCCCAGTGTATGCGAAGGTTCTCTCCTTCCCCCTGGTGCTGACAGCAAAGGGGAAGGTGATATCCTGAGGGTGGGTCCCACACACGGTGCCCATTGGGCCGAGGGAGCAAGGCCAGGTAGACCAGCTCACCTGTTGCTGTATCAGGTGCAGAGGCAAGGCCGTGCGGTGAGGGAAGGCAGGAGATGTTGGGACCTCCTCCTGGCTGCTCTGCCGGCGCAGGCACTCAAAGTTGAAGGAGGATCTTCGGTGGGCTGAGAAGGCAAAGCACGTGAGCAGCTGTGAAACAAGCTCTCTGGCAGGACCCTGGGCTCTGGGAGTCACATCACCCACCAAACGCTCAGTGGGGAGCCCAGGAGGAAGCGAGTGATACGTTCAAGAAAAAGCATTAGGTAGTGAAGTCTCAGAACTTTTGGCGAGAGAGGATAAGGAAGAAGCTCAACTGAGGGATGGTTTTAAAAAGCCCAAGTAGATTTCTTATAAAGGCCATGCCTGTTCTCAGGGGCAGGAGCTGAAGGCAGCCAGAAGGCATCTGCTCTGACTCGAAGGCCCTGCCCTACATGTTGTGGGGAACATGGCCTCCTTTTAGAATCCCACAGACGCTTGCTGACTGTTCCGTTCTCACCTTCCAGACATCCTAAGCATCTCTGGGGCCCGAAGCATCCCATGGGTGCTCCTGTGTTTATACGTCTGCCTTAAAGGGAGTGACTTGCCACCTCCCCCATTAGCTGAACCAGGTAATAAGAAAATTCTTTTGTTGGGAAAGACCAACTTCTCTAGCACCGAAGACAAAACAAAAAGGAACACATCTAACTGTAAAGAATGCAGTTGTCCTGTTAACAGCCAGGGTGAGCAATGGCAAGAGATCCAGAGCCTGTGGCTTCCAGGGCACCAGGCACAGGAGATCCATCTGGATTCAGGGCCCCCAAGCACCACCGGAGGCTTCCCTGCTGGAAACACCTCCCCGGGAAAGAGGAGGTGTTTCAGGAGCCCTGCAGGTAATTTGCAAGATAGTGAGTGGCCAGGGCACTTTAACGGCGCTTTCTTGACCTGGTTTCTAAGCTTACAGGGCTTGCTTCGAACTCCACACCCCTACGTTCCCGTGTGGGGAACTGCAGACACCAGCCTGGGGAGGCCTCCCAGGACTCCTGGGGCTGTTCATGAAGCTGCAGGAACTGGTTCAGTGGGGGCCCTGCTCCCAACATGCATGAAGAGCAGGCTGGCCACTGCGCAACCAGGAGGAGCAAGACAGACAACATTCCTGGTCTCACAGGCCTGATGCACACTCTGGGACATGTTGGGACCTCCTTGAGCTGAGTCAGTGGCTGCTGTCCTCGTCAGACAGCTGACCCTCCATGCGCCATGCAGGAGCCAAATTTAATGGTGTTCTAAGGAGGACAGTCCTCCCTTGGCAGCATAATTTCTAGGACCCTCCTGGAATCAAATGGAGGGGGCTGAGACTCAGGGCCAGGAAAGGAAACCACTGCCCCTTTGTCTCCCAGAGTGCCTTTCAGATTCGAAAATAGGTCCACATATGCCCATCAACTCATTGGTTACAACCATCTCTGCAGGAGGAAGTCGCCCTACTGAAGCTGAGAACACAGGCTGAGGAGGTCCATGCTCCCTGCCCAAGGTCTGAACCTACAGGCAGCA